CAGCACCTGAAAAGAAGGAAGCCCCAGAAGCAGAAGAGAAGAAAGAGGAGAAGGCAGAAGAGAAGAAAGAGGAGAAGGCAGAAGAGAAGAAGGAGGAAGTTAATACAGAAAAGAAAGAGGATGATAAACCAGTAAAGAAGGAAGATACATCAGATTCATCATCAGATGAGGAGAAATAAAATAATAAAACAGTGAACAAAAGATAACTAGCTGATGGGGTGTTTTACATCAACTGTCATTATATGTTCATCAGCTGTCTTATCTGTTTTGTTTCTCTCTGATAATAATGTAAGTCTTTGTCTCTTTCAATAGTACAAAAAATATAGTTCTCCTTGCTTTTTACCTTGTGATTGCCCCTTTATCTAAAATTAATGAGCTGTATTTTCTATTATCTTTTCATTTCACTCATTTCAGTTGGGCAGCCTTTATTTCTTATTTCATTAAAGTTCATGAAAGTTTTTTTTTTTTTTTTTTTTTTTTTGGGGGGGGGGGGTAGCTAAGAAATAAATAATGCATGTAAAAAAAAAACATTCATAAATATTTTATTGATGTTTCTGTAATCAAAAATATATGAATGTGCTAAACACATAGATATTTTTTTGCAAGCAGCTCCTTCAGTCTCATATTCTCTTCTAGGCAGAGACAAACAAAAATTAACAACAGAATGCTAATTACTTGACTAGACTTCTACCAGTGGGATTTTATAAACATATTTTACCATCTTAGTTTCAACAAACTCCCATGGTTTAGTATTACTAATCCATTTCTGTCACTGAAACCAAAAGTCTGTAAGCTTTAATATGAAATTTTAACCAAATCATTATTTCACAAACAATTCCCAAAATAACCAAAAGACATAAGCGTAAATAGCTCCAAGATCTGCCACAACAATGGCAGAATTATCACAGTTGGTCGCAGGATTCTTTCCCGCTGTTGATGCCGAAGTTCAGTTAAATCATGGCCCCCTCAGCTTTCCCCTCTTTCACTGTTGCCATCCAGGCTTGTCTCTTTTCGCTGCCAGTGTCTCCTTTGTTATCCATGGCTTGTTTCTTTGCATTCCGTTTCTTTCTGTCGCTCTTTTTGGGTGCTTTTGGTTTGATCTTGGGGGTGGGATCAATGCGAATTGCTGCATGACACTGCTTGTACATCTCCTCCACCTGAAAATAAGACATTGAAAAAATATTTACAAATATGATGATGATAATAATAATAATAATAATAATAATAATAATAATAATAATAATAATAATAATTATAATAACAGTAATTATAATGACAGTAACTGAATAAAGACACAGATGATCTACAACATGATGATATAGGTTGTGAAGATGATGATCATTATCATTCTGATTATCATCCTCATTATCACAGTTATCAAGATTGTCATTGTCATCCTCATCACAACAAGAAATCCATATACTCAAAA